CGTTGCGCTTCCCTTAGCTGGGTGCGCAGGGTGGCGCGGGCCGGCGGCGCTCGCCCCGGTGCGGCGGGGAGCAAAGGAAGGACTAACTCGTGCGCCGTCGCTTCGTTCCAGGTGAGGACGCGATGCCTCGCTGCGGCACAGCGGGCCGAGGTGCCTCGGAGCAGCGCGCTGGGCGCCCTGGTCTGCCGCGGGATGGCCCGACGGTGCAGGTTGGGTGCAGACCAACTTTGGGGGCGGGAGAGGGAAAGGTTCTGTAGATAGATAGAAATTATTAAAAGCGAGCTAGCGCAAGCCTCGTGGGGATTTGCTCGCTGTCATCAAGCTGGGTGTAGGACAGGTTACGTTAATGTTATACAGAGTTTTAAGTTATTTGAGTATTTTTAGCTGATTAGTGCAGCTGACAATGGAAGAAATAGGAAAAAAAAAACAACCAAACAAAAGCAGTTTACTTGAAGGTTAGGAGCGATACTAGTCCGCTATAATCACCGCATTGTCTACCTGGCTGTTTTGTACATACTGTACACGAGATGCATGTGCTCTTGGCTTGGGGAGGGACTGTACATTTTTAAATGCTTTTTGAGGACTGTTGCTTGACTGTGGGCCAGCCTGCAGCACTCCGCTCCACACTACATTTCACGGTGTCCGTGTTTCCTGTACCATTTCACTGGCGGGACTCAACAACTTTCCAGTGTACAGAAGACTTGTAAATAGCTGGCCGACAGGCTGATGGAACAAAAGCCTTTTTTTATGGTAGCCTCAAACACACACACACACCCTGCGAGGACAGTTCAGCACTAAGGACCTTTGTAAGATACCCTATGTATCGATTTGGAGGACATGTTTTGTAATTTTTTTGTGTTTTTTTTTTTTTTAATAAAATGATATAAGAAGTTATGTGGAGGATGACTATGTACAGAGTTTGACTCATAAAACCAGAAAATGAAGATGCAGGCATAGACGCGCTCTTGCTAGGAGTTTCCCACTCAGCACCCAAGAGGTGGATGATCAGAAAATGATTTTTTTTTTAAATAGCAGTAAAGGCAGCAGTCGTGGAAGTGGAACGAACCAAGCCCAGGCCTCCGCCACAGCCCGTCCTCCTGCCAGGCAGACGCTGTGGACCAGAGAGCAGAGCTCAGGAGGACTGAACAGGTTACAGCAAAGAAGGTGTAACCAAAGCCTTTAAGAGAAGGAGATCAAGCCTGGACCAGTTTTTTCCCCTCTGCAGCAAACCATGCCTCTTAACCACCTCTCAGACAGAGGGGGCTGCTCGTCTGAAGAGCCCAGCCCGCTGGGAGCGGGCAGGAGAGGAAGCAGGCGCAAGGGAGGGGGGGCCGCGCGCAGCCACCACTGCACCTTGCTCCGGGAGCGATGAGGCCCCAGGGGCCAACCATGGAAAGCCGCTTACCAGAAGCGGTGCCAGCAGCTGGCAAGAGGAAGTGCTGAAAGCCCCTAACCCCCAGCAAGGGAGGAAGGAAACGAGCACCTACGGACCGCGTTTGAGCGGGCTGCAAGTCTGTGAACGGGATGTGGCACAAAAGCCACAAAGTTCCTCTTTGGCAGCAGAAGCCTGCACAAGAGCTGCATAGATAGGGGTAAGAACGGGGGGGGGGAGGGGGGGGGAACACCCAAACAAACCAACCAGTGACCCTACCAGTGACCCTACACTTCCCAGCACAGCAGGCTAGACAGGTGCTTAGAGCAAGAGAAACTCATTCCAACTTACTCCCTCACCTTTCCTTGCAGTGGCACCACGGGGAAGCAACGCAAGCCACGCTCCTTGCCATACAACCGTCCACCAACGCAAGACTGCTTAGGGTTGCAGCTAGATCTGGGCCCAAGGATGCACAAGGATCCATGGAGAAGGTCAGCATCTCATTGACGAGAGAAGCGCTCACGTAAAGGAAACGAAACGGCAAGAGTCACATACTACCGCGCCAAACAAGAGCCATTGCTAGCTGTAGGCACTAGCAGGGTCGGCGCGAGGAGAGCGCACGCTTATTCCTACCAACGGCTTCAGCTACGCTCTGGTCCTCAGAGACAGGCCTTGGGCTGCTGCATCTTCTCCCCCACTCAGCTGGGGCCTGGCAAGTCAGCCCCTGCCAAAAGCAGACTGCCTGAGAGCAACCGGGAGAGCGCAGCGGGCGCGAAGCCACACTAAGGAAGTTAGAGCCTGTGTTTCCTATCGTGAAACGCTCTGCACTGTCCAAGCTCCACTCTGGCAGGCGGAGATCAAGAGATCTCAGAAAGGAGATGCTGCTTGTACCACTGAAGTGAATCAGACCAGAGCACAGGACTGGTTTCCAGAATTTGGCTTTACTTTGCAGTACAGAAATCATTTGGAGCCTTCAGGAGACACAAGAAGCACAGGCTCTGTCATATCAATACCGCAGTGCAGTTTGGTCCATCCGAGAAGCCACTAGGGTACAGAAAATACTTTCACATCTTGCCTGCTCTGTAATTTGTTCTCTCAATTTTATTAGATTAAAACACAAAGGAGCCTTAGGCACAGCTGTGTCCCAACCGATGTAAACAGTTTTAGAAGCTTAAGTGTAGGTTAAGTTCTGTGCCCAGAACTATGCCAACATTTGCTGCTACAATAGATGTGGGCTTTGTCCATAATACAACTTGCCACAGAGTTAGATTGATGGGAGAGACTTTAGGGATGCTGTCCACAATAATGGAGTGCTCAGTTTCTACTTTCCTTGATAACAGGTTCGAGTGACAACTGTCACGTTTACTAGTTCACCAGAAGCACATAATTGTGAAGTATGTTTACAAATGATTAAAAATACAAGGTAAGACACAGCTGTCAATGAGTTATTTCAATCTGCACCAATGTCTAAGTCTGCAAAAAAGTTCAGTCTGCTTTTCACTTACAAGGTTAGTCATTAAATCAGTCAGTAATTTGCCAGATTCTGGACAGCAGCCCTACTAGAATGAAATAATTAACACATGATATCCAAAAGGGGAACATTACCAGTGCAGTACTCTTCAATCTCTCAGAGATGGGATTACAAAAGCAGGCCTTACAATATTGAATTTCATACAGTGTTCATTAAGTTCCTTATATATTCATATTAGCCGATTTAATTTCTCCTAATTAGAGATTCTCATTACTGCTGCTCCTCCTCCCCATAGATATCATTTTTCTTGCGCTTCATCTCTTCAAAGTCAAACTCTGATCCCATCATCCTCTTATAAATATCTTTGATGTCATCGCACGTCGTCTCAAAGTGAGTGGTAGCATCGTAGGTGCGAGAAATAAAGATCTGGAAAGAGAAGAGGCAGTTTAGCATCGAGGCTCTCTCCTTACACACAGTCAGCCACGAGCTCAGCGCTTACAAACCTGGCTTTCGGTTCCCAAGTCAGTTGGTGCGAACAGGTCACTGATGCTAACAAACCTGGAAGACAAGAAAGTTTCTTCAGAACGATTTAAAGCTTTCCTGGGCATCAGTATCGATGCCAAAGCAACCGAAATAAAGGGCATCGCTTGGCCTAGTACTAGCACACAGGGCAAGCAGACTGGGGTGGATAATGCCAGTCTAGGTACGGAGGAATTTCAGTTTTTCAACACCTCCCATGGCCAACCGGCCTTTAGTCCCTTTCTGCCTTTGCTCCTCGCGCTGAGGGCACAGGCACTCCCCGACAACAGCGAGCCTCACTCGCAGCACGGAGCGGCAGGGAGAGCTCGGTGCTGCTGCGTAGGGGGAAAGGGACTCGTCGAGGGCTTACTTCTGCTCAATGGGCTCCAAGAGGTCCAAGGCCGGCTTGATTTCCTTCTCTGGGTCTGCAGTTTCCACAGTAGTGCTGGCAATGGCGATGTACTTCCCCTGCGCTGCCACATTGTGCGCAGAGGAGATCATGCAGACGTAGATATCTGGAGAAGCACACCACAGCAGCCAGGTCAGTATACACCAGGCAACAACCACAAGCTAACAGCCCGAGTCAGGTCCACCTCTTCTGATAAGCCTCCTCCAGCTGGCTCACAGGCTCACACCCCCTCCTCGTTATGCTGACACTTCATGCCTGTCAATCTTGTTTAAGACCATGCCGACAGGCTAGAAACATCTGAATGAGTTCAGTGCAGTCCTTGTCCTAGAGTCCTACACGCCCTGACAGTCTCTTGGCTTAGGAGTCTGCACACAAGTAACCCTGTGACAGCTCCAAAATTCGGTACCTCGTAGCTACGACAGCTCCTGAAAGCAAGCGGGGCTCCCTAGAGAGTTCCCCTCTGTTCAAGGACGAGGGGGCAGTTCCGCAGGACTAGACCAATGCGGCTACCTCCGTGAGGAGGCATTTCCCCGCCAGCCTGCACACGCTGCCCTTATTCTACCTCTCAGAGCACCCCCAACGCTCCACAACCGCTTCACCCAAGTTGGGGTTCTCGCTTCTCCCCTTCTCTGGGTTCCTCACATGGCTTTCTGACCACAGGAACCTCTGTTTCTCCTACCTCCCCCACCACTGCTGTGATACGCAACTGAAACACGGCCTTCTTGTGGCCTAGAGGATTTCAGGACAGCAGTTTGAACACTTAAACGCATCAGAAAGTTCAGTTAATATTCAGGCATGCGAAGCTACCACCGCAATCGCCATCGCTCCCTCTTGTGGTAGAGGGCTGCTGTCAGGAGAGTTACAGGACAGAAGGGTCCCAGGAGCTGTGCCAAGCAGCAGTGACACTGAACAAGCCCAGAAGACAGGTACTCTCAGGAAAGAGATGAGCAAAGCCATTCAGGGGTCAAAAAGCTTCATTCCAACATTGCA